TAGTTTTCTGCAGTTTTCTTGTGAAAGCTCTTCGTATGCCTCAGGCCGGCTCTGCGTATGCCAGGCCGGCTCTGCGTGTGCCTCAGGCCGGCTCTTCGTATGCCTCAGGCCGGCTCTGCGTATACCTCAGGCCGGCTCTTCGTATACCTCAGGCCGGCTCTTCGTATAGCCTACCTCAGGCCGGCTCTGCGTATGCCTCAGGCCGGCTCTGCGTGTGCCTCAGGCCGGCTCGCTCGTTGCTCTGCTGCTTCTGAATGATTTTATCGGCTCCATCAGAGGGGATTTCTGTGTTTTTCTGCTCATTAGCCGTTGTTCTTTAGCGCTGTTTGGATGTCAGAGTCGGAGGTCAAACGGGCCTCGGCCCACGCAGGGGAACCGTCACCAGGGCGATAATCTGCCCGGCGCTTCTCCAGTTACCCGGCGGCTCCGGTTACATCTCCGCTGCTGGTCTCGCTTTCAATCTGCTTTGTTTTCCAGCTGCAGGGGAAAAAACTGCACTTTTATTCCCTCCGAGTGTTCGCTTTGTGATTAATGAGGCTCACACACTTTATTTTTACATCGTGGACAGCAGACAGAAAACAGTATGAATGTTTGCGCTGCTGCTGGACCTTTAACCCGTCAGCCGGATGGAAAGGCTTTTTAACTCATCCATCACACGCAGAAGTGCAGGAGAAGGACGAAGGCGAGATGGAGGCTGGAGTATTTAGATAACCGCCATCGATCAGCCGCAGAACGAAGCCGAGCCAGAAAACCGCAGCGCTGATCCACCGGGTCGCTGATCCACCGGGTCGCTGATCCACCGGGTCGCTGATCCACTCCAACATCCAAACGCTCCAGATTTACAGATGATGCAAATTAAAATTACAGTTTTAATACAAGTTCAGCCTGTGACTTGGCCTGTTACACTGCAAAAACACGAAAACGTACCGAGGAGTTTGGATGAATGGAGCAAATATCTTAATAAATATCTGAAAATAAACTAAACTAACAGGAAACTTTCAGCAACAACTGAGAGTTTCATTAATATTGATGAAAAGCTTCGAGTTCAACATGCAGATTATTAAATGTTTTATTAAGTGAAATAATCTGCAGAGGAACTCGAACTTTTTCATCAATATTAATGAAGTTGGTTTTGTGTTTTACAGTGCATGTTTGAATTTATCACTTTCATTAAACATTGTTTTGGTATTAAAGTTTTTTTCTGAAGTAAAACCTGAAAACAGATCCGGGTTAAACGCTGCGTTACCGTGGAAACGTGTCACTCTAACTCGCGGCGACTAAACCTTCGCTCCGGTTCACGTAACAAAGTGTTTCTGATCCACTGATCCACCGGGCCGCTGATCCACTGATCCACCGGGCCGCTGATCCACCGGGCCGCTGATCCACCGGGTCGCTGATCCACTGATCCACCGGGCCGCTGATCCACCGGGCCGCTGATCCACTGATCCACCGGGTCGCTGATCCACCGGGTCGCTGATCCACCGGGTCGCTGATCCACTGATCCACCGGGCCGCTGATCCACTGATCCACCGGGCCACTGATCCACTGATCCACCGGGCCACTGATCCACTGATCCACCGGGCCGCTGATCCACTGATCCACCGGGTCGCTGATCCACTGATCCACCGGGCTGCTGATCCACTGATCCACCGGGCCGCTGATCCACTGATCCACCGGGTCGCTGATCCACTGATCCACCGGGCTGCTGATCCACTGATCCACCGGAGTTACTGGAGTTCGGTGGTTTATCGCCGAGTGTCTGAATGAAAGCTTCGCCATTTTAAACAAAATTGATCAAATTATTTTAAATGATTATTTTTCAGAGTAAAAGAATTAAACTGAAGCTAAAACTAAATACCACCAACACAAACCTGTGACCCTCTGCTTTAAAGCAATGGCTCCTGATGGGGCGCGGCGCGGATCCATTGTGACTCTGGCCGGCTCTGCTTTCGGTCAAACTGACCAAACACAGAATTGAGCAAACAGGAGGAAGTCGCTCCGTTCGCTTCGACTCGCCTGAACATTTGATCAAAAACCAAAACCAACCGAAGACAAAGACGACCTGCTGCTGAAAACCCAAAACGACCAGAGTCCAGAGACCAGAGACCAGAGACTAGAGTCCAGAGTCCATAGACCAGAGTCCAGAGACTAGAGACCAGAGACCAGAGACCAGAGACCAGAGACTAGAGACCAGAGACCAGAGTCCAGAGACTAGAGACCAGAGTCCAGAGACTAGAGACCAGAGACGAGAGACTAGAGACCATAAACCAGAGTCCATAGACTAGAGACCAGAGACCAGAGTCCGGAGACTAGAGACCAGAGACGAGAGACCAGAGACTAGAGACTAGAGACCAGAGACCAGAGACCAGAGACCAGAGACTAGAGACCAGAGACCAGAGACTAGAGACCAGAGACCAGAGACCAGAGTCCAGAGACTAGAGACCAGAGACCAGAGACCAGAGACTAGAGACCAGAAACCAGAGACCAGAGACTAGAGACTAGAGACCAGAGACTAGAGACTAGAGTCCAGAAACCAGAAACCAGAGACCAGAGACTAGAGACCAGAGTCCAGAGACCAGAGTCCAGAGTCCAGAGACCAGAGACCAGAGACTAGAGTCCAGAGTCCAGAGACTAAAGACCAGAGTCCAGAGTCCAGAGTGACCGTCAGACTCTCTGCTCAGAATTATTACAGATATTAAATGCTGGAAAGTCTTTTATTAATTTAGCTGAAATAAACACTGAAAATGTCATTTTTCCTGGACACCAACGTTCCCGTCTTTGTTGAAATGTTCGAACCACAGTAGGAAAGACTTGACCTTTGACCTCCAGATTTCTTCAGACAAATGAGTTTGTTCATGTCAGTGAGTGTAGAAAATGAAATGAATTGAAGACTCATGAACCAGAAATAGAGAATCTTTAGAATCTTTACATAAAGAATATGCTGAAAATAGACTCATTTCATAAACTTTAAAGAGTCTAAAGTGAAAAAAAAGTTTTTTCTACTTTGGTTATTTTGAACAGAAAGCCGGCCTGATGCATAAGCAAACTCAGCAACTACAAGTCAGGTTTCACTGATTATATTCTTCTTCATTAATTAGTTTTAATTGTGCAAAATGAAAATGATAATGTTGATATTCAAAAGGAAAGATGTATATAATTTCAATGAGTGAAACATTTTAGAAATATATTTCTTCTTTGTTCCATTTGACAAAATAAACTAGAATCAAAATAAATTTATTTTTCTCTGAAATAATATGGATTAATCAGTTGGATTTTATCTGAACTCTAGAACAAACATTCACATTTTGCATAAAACCTGAAAACTTTCAGATTCTGGAAACAAATGTTTGATTATTGTGAAATTTTCTATATGCTGTAAAATAAAGGTTGTGTTGAATGTGTAAAACTTTAACATTTAAACTTTATAAAATAGGAGTTTTTTTAAAATAGATTAAGTAGGAAGACAAATGATATGAGCTGCTGGTTAGGACAGCCAGGCCAGTAGGAGGCGGCCAACAGCAGCGGCGTATTCACAGAAAGCAGCAAGAAAAACTTTAAACGACTATCAGGAATTCATCTACTTTCATATTTTAGATAACTTTATTCGTCTCTATTGATTCTGGGTAGATTTTAGTTTTGAAGAGAACAAATCTTTTAGCATGATGCTAACGAGCTTGATGCTAACTATCATGATGCTAATGTTTAGCATCATGCTAGTTACCTCATCAGACAAACCAAAATATAAAGTTAAGTAGAAATTTTGGTATAAGGAAGAAAATGACATAAATTCATATAAGAAACCGAAACATAAAGTTTGCCAAAATAAAAATATTATTTCAATCGAAACTTCAGAACCTTTAACAGGTTTGAGTTTCTGGTTAAAACATGTTTGACTTACATTCACTGGGAAGAAAATGCAGAAATACTTTATGATAAAATGAGTGAAGTCAAAAGTTCAGCACTGTAAAAAAGATTTATTCAAAAGTTGCTCAGTAATTGTACTTTCTCACTCATTTAGACAGTAATTATAATTTTCTATACAACTTCATTCACTTCAACATGTAAACCAACACAATGAAAACTGGCTGACATGTTTTCCATGTTTTAGTTTTGGCTTCTAGTTTCCTTCAGTATAATTTGATTAAAATAAAATCCTCATTTAAAATACGGAGATGAAAAATTGATGTTAGCGTTTCGCTGTTTTTCTGTGTAGAGATCTAAAGGTGAGAGAGCAGCAGCTGTGTGTGTGTGTGTGTGTGTGTGTGTGTGTGTGTGTGTGTGTGTGTGTGTGTGTGTGTGTGTGTGTGTGTGTCAGTTGTTTAGATAATCAGCAGCTGTCAGAATCACAGCAGGTTTTCTGATCATTCATGTTTCATCCATCAGCTCATCGTTTGTCCAACACAATGAGGCAGAAAATCTTTATCCAGCTCACACACACATAGACCAGAATGTGTGTGTGTGTGTGTGTGTGTGTGTGTGTGTGTGTGTGTGTGTGTGTGTGTGTGTGTGTGTGTGTGTGTTAAGGAGCGCAGCAAACATGAATAACACAACGCGGCTCCTGAATCCACCGCAGAAATATTAATAATACCAACATGAAATATTTATGAACTTGTGACAAGAGAAGCAACAAGTTTGATTTATTGATTATTTGTTATTAAAGGCGCCGCTTTATAAAACTGATCCGTTTTGGCCACGCCCCCTTTTTAATCCATAAAGTTTCTATTGGAGCCCAAATCAAACCGAACCGAATCTGCTGCCAGATTCTCATCAATGTTTTCCAACAAGCCGAGCCGTTTGGACTTTTACATCAGCGGGACATCGGTCGGTCGGGTCACCGTGACGTCATAGCCCCGGTGTGGTGCCGCAGGTTCAGTGGGTTGGACTGTCGGCCTGGGAGGTTCCGAGCGGCAGGAGGAGGATCTGCTGCCTGACAGTCGGAGCCCCGAGTCGGTCAGAGCGCACAGCACAGCGGCGCTGCTGCAGACCGGACCGAACCGAGCCGAGCCGAACCGCTGCCTGATGCCTCGCGTCGCTTCACCTCTACAGGAACTTTGTGGGTTTTGGGGAATCCGAACCTGTGGTGGAAACGCGCCGCTCATGTTCCGGTGTGGTTCTGGAGCTCCGTGTCGCAGCCGCTGGACTCTCCAGGTTCTCACTGTCCGCATCCTTCTCTTTAAGGTGGCATGAATTTGGACAGAATCTCGGAGGCCGTGAGAGCCGCGCCGCCCCGTGACGTGGCCGCCGCGTTTCATTTACAGAGACCAGCGGAGGCCGGACGGGTTCTGGAGAACTCCAGCAGCGAGTCGTCAGACGCAGAGCTGGCAGGTAGATACCGCCGGACGGATCCAGACTTTCACTGAGCGCAAATCATGTTGCTGCGCAGAAAGCAGAGAAACCCGCAGCGGGACGTTCATTTACGCGCCAGCAGAACCCAGATCTGTTCTGGTCCGGTTTTGCGCTGCCTGAGCCAATCAGCGGGCGGGATCCCGGACTGGGTCACGGAAAATGTGCGGAGCCAAAAAATAAACCATAAATAGCATCAATGTGAAATGCAGCGAAATATTCACAGGTTAAAGGTGAACATGCGGCTTTTGGTTCCGCTTGGAAATGTGCGAATCTTTGCTTTTCTTTCTCTGTCTAAGTTTTATGAAAATACTTGCAAATGTCTGGCCTCAGGCTCTGCGCGCTGCTCCTTCAAACCTTTCGCTGTTTTGCAACCTGGAAACTGAATCCGCGTGTGAAACGTTGGAGCAGAACCGCAGCGCCGCAGCGCCGCGCGTCCTCACCGCACCGCCGCTTTCTGTTCCCGCAGACAAGGAGCGCAGCGCGGAGCAGCGCAGCGATGACGGCAGCGCCGACGACCCGAAGAAGAAGAAGCAGCGGCGGCAGCGGACTCACTTCACCAGCCAGCAGCTGCAGGAGCTGGAGGCCACGTTCCAGAGGAACCGGTACCCGGACATGAGCACCAGGGAGGAGATCGCCGTCTGGACCAACCTGACCGAGGCCAGGGTTCGGGTAGGACAACCGCGTCCACATTTCACTAATCAGTCCGATCGATTTGAAATCACAATGTCTGATTTTATGACGGCAGCAGTGAACTTTAGGATTTACATTCCGGGTCAAACAGTTTGACCTTCATGAGTTTGAAAGATTTTAGTTTTTCGGATCGAAATTCATTTCAAATGTTTCGGATCAAAGGCGAATTATTTCAATAATTTTCCTGATCAACATCCAAAAACTGATAAACATCAGGAAACATCCAGCTTGTTTGGACCTGCATCAGGTCCAGTTCGGATCTTTGCTCCGTTTAATCACAAACTGAACGACACCAGAACATGAAATATTTCCTCTTCATCGTTTTTCATCGTTCGGTTCTGGCGGGACTTTGGGCCGTTTTCCCGCGCAGCCACGTGAAACTTTCTGTGGAAATGAAGAGTCGGTTCTGGAATGTTCCGGTTCCGTTGGGTTTGGAGCACCAGCTGCAGTTTTCTGTCGTGCACTTTATAAAAAATAAAGCATATTTCTGTTAAACGGGACATTTTGAATTATTGCAGATCAGAAAAATCAAATGAATTTATTCTAATCGCTTCCGGTCGCTTTGATTTTTCTCCTTCATTTTTTTGCAGCAGCTTCTGCAAATGATTTATGTTATGAATCCTCTTCACGGGACGGATCCACTTACTGTTTCAGTTATGAGTTAAAAACGATTCCGCAGACTGGCGGCTCGGTCCGGTCCGGTCCGGTCCGGTCCGGTTCGGCCCCAGCTGCTGGTTTTATTCTGACGCGCGGATCATATAAACGCAGTGACTCCGCAGGAGTTTCACATTAAAGTCAAATGGCGCAAACGGGTCAAACTGCGTCTTTTTATCAACTGATTTTGATTTTATATGATTAGATTTTGAACTTTATTTGATGCGATCAGATTCTGTAGTTTCATTTACAAAAAATCATTTTGTGTTTTTTAATTGACAAATTATATTTTATTGGAGGTTTTGCTGTCCAGAAAATAAGCATTAAAATGATGTAGCATAACTTCAGTATTTATGTATTAAATTAATTCAGACGCAGAAATATTAACCAATAAATTGTTTATTGTTTTATGTTCAGAAATAAATTATTGCAAAGCGATTTAAAAATGTTCGGCGCATATTTATATATTATATTTAATGAAGAGCTTTACACTAAAAAACAGATAAAATGATTTTAATGATTCATGTAACGTTCACGGACCCACGGGAGTAAAAACAGCTCCGTGAAAAACCCACGATGAGGAAGAAAAACAGACGAGCTGATAATAATAATAAAATCATTATTATTATCAGAGTAATTATTATTTGTATTATTATTATTATTATTGTTATTATTACTATTATTATTATAATTATTGTTATTTATGTTATTATTATTATTATTATTGGTGTAAATAATTTTGCTAAAGTGATATTTTATTTAAAAAATGAATACATGTTTCTAAATGCATGAAATGATTTTCCTGCATCATAAATAGAATCTGCATGAATCTTTATTATATTCGCTCTCGGTTTTTGACACCAATCTGGATTTTCCGATTATTGTCACCGTGACTCAGTGACCAGCCTGGAGCTGAATAGTGCGGCTGGCAGCCTGCGGTAGTGACGCAGTGTTTACCTTCCAGGTGTGGTTCAAGAACCGCCGGGCCAAGTGGAGGAAGCGGGAGCGGAACCAGCAGATGGACCTGTGCAAGAACAGCTACCTGCCGCAGTTCAGCGGCCTCATGCAGCCCTACGAAGACATGTACCCGACCTACACCTACAACAACTGGACCAACAAGGGCCTGGCCCCGGCGCCGCTGTCCACCAAGAACTTCACCTTCTTCAACTCCATGAGTCCGCTCACCTCGCAGTCCATGTTCTCCGCGCCGAACTCCATCTCCTCCATGAGTATGGCGTCCGGCATGGGCCACTCCGCGGTGCCCGGCATGGCGGCCCCGGGCCTCAACAACATCAGCAACCTGAACGGCATCGGAACCTCTGGCATCAACTCGGCCATGTCGTCCTCCGCGTGTCCGTATGGCCCTCCCGGCTCGCCGTACAGCGTTTACCGGGACACGTGCAACTCCAGCCTGGCCACCCTAAGACTGAAGTCCAAGCAGCACCCGACGTTCGGCTACAGCGGCCTGCAGAGCCCCGGCTCCAGCCTCAACGCCTGCCAGTACAACAGCTGACGGGCCGCGGGGCCCCGAACCGACCCGCAGGATCCGCATCTCACCCAACCCGCACCCGAACCGACCCGGATCCCTGCGCTCAACTTTTCCCTGAGAGAAAAAAGGATGCTGCGGGTTGAAACATCCGGGATCCTTTTCTAAATAATGAAGACGTGTTTCTGCTGCACTGTACATATTTCACTGTAAATACAAACTGGGATTCTGGTTCCGGTACCGGCGGAGCTGCTTGGTGGCTCCATGTCGTAGCGACGCACTTAAACTATTCAAAACCAAAAAATTATAAAAATACTCCAAATATTTCATTTGATATTTTCAGGAATATTTTTTTCATCCGTTTCGTTTCTGATGAGCAGAAATTGATCAGCAGCTGGTTCCGTTTCGTACCTGGAAAAAGAACATGGCGCCAAAAAACGACTAAAAAATAACAAGAAGAAAAATGACCCTCGGAGCAAAAACCCAGAATCCATTTGGAAATGACAGGTACGAAACGGAGCCACAAGTTTTGCTCGTTGTTCGTTTTTGAATTAAATTTTCAATTCATAAAAAATAAAAAGACAGAAAATGTCGGAGGTGAAATGAACGGAACCGCTGAAGAGGGATTATTAATTACAATAATTACAAAACATGACAGTAATTGATGTTAAAGAGGTGAAAAAAAGAAGAGATCTTGACTTTATTGTACATATTTTATAAACGCTTCTTTGTGCTTTTTGCCACCGACTGCTTCTCATTTTATCTGCTCAAAAAAACCAACAATGTTTAACTGACGTGATTTAATGTAAAACTGTTTCTAAAATGATCCAAAGTTCTGGTGTTTAATGTAACATGTGTCTGAATAAACCAGAAACTGAAAAGGTTCATTTAAATATTTAGCTTCACTTCAAAATAATTATGTTCTATTAACTGATTTGATTCGCTTTCATCGAGACTGAAGGAGGAATTAGAAAGTTAAAAACTGATCATTTATGATCAACCAAAGCTCAGAAATCCTGCAGTTTGCATTGAATAAATCAGTAAAAATGATTAGAATCTGTCTCATAAGCGCTCTGCTCATTCAGTCAACATCATATCTGCTGTTCTGACACCTGCAGAAATCCTCATATCTGTATTATCTATATTACTGCCATTACACTGATATTAGTGTTTAACCTGATAGGTAATCTGAGGGATTAGGATCAGAGGCAGCTGTTAATAAAACACTGAAATATGGTCAGAATTAATTATTAAACACAAATGATTTAAAATGTCATTTATAGATTAGAGCGTAACTGTTTATAAAATATATTTTGCTTTATTATTAAAGCTTTTAATCAAACATTGGAGTAATATTTCTAATCCTAAGAATTAACTTTTATTTTCCTTGTTGCTCAGATTAGAATTTTTTTCCTATTAATTTTTACTTCAAACATTAATTTAATTGATATTTTATTCATAAACAGCAGGAAGTTTCTTTTCGTTCAATGTTTGTCATTTTCTGCCTTTCAGTGTTTAATGGATCATTTTCATCATTTCATTTATTTGTCATCATTTAGCAGGAAAGTCTAAACTGCACCGTTTCCGATTATCTGGTATATTAAAGTTTTGTGAATATGAATATTTAGCTGTTCACTCCTCAGACCACCGGCGGCGCGCGGCGTTTATTTAAGGCGCGCACGCGCATTGCTTGAAGCTGCAGCTCTTGGCTTTGGTTAGAAATCCTCAGGCAGCAAGACGCGCCGCACCGCACCGCCGCCGCGCCGCACCGCCACCATGCCACACCGCGCCGCGCCGCCGCCGCACCGCGGTGATTCGCAACAAAAACAAACCGCGCAAACTGTCGTAAAACGTCTCCAATAGTTTTCCTGATTGCGGCTGTAAACGAGGCGCGGACGCGCACGCGCACACGCAGGCCAAAGTTCAGCGCCGCTTTATACCTGGTAAATATTTGAAGAGTTTTTCTCTGGAAATCCCCGCAAACCCGATGAAGAAAACGGAACAGTTATGGTGCAAAAACTGCGCATTAATGGGAAAAATATCGGCGGAATTCTAAGATAAACTAACAACAACAAAAAACAGATAAAACTAAAATCAAACATCCTTGGTGATAATCAGATCACATTTTCCAGTTAAACTGTTCTGGGAAACAGATGATAATATTGACAACAATCAATCAATCAATCAATCAATTTTATTTGTATAGCACATTTCAGCAGCAAGGCATTTCAAAGTGCTTTACATCATAAACACAAGAACACAAAGTCATGCAACATAGAATAGACAATACATTGTTACATATTACATTTCAAATGAAACTCTAAACAGGTGCGTTTTTAGTTGCGATTTAAAAGCAGTCAGGGTTTCTGCTGTTTTACAGTTGTCTGGAAGTTTGTTCCAAAGTTTTGGTGCATAGATGCTGAAAGCTGAGTTGAGTGATTAATTCCTTTGGATCAGGTGAAGTAAATATAATATCTAAAACCTGCAGGGAAACTGGAGGAACAGGATTGGTCACTGGATGCGTTACCTGGGCGACACTCTAAAAACAGCATGGTTAAAACAAGTCAATCTGGAAGTTAGTGACAAACATTGACCAGTTCAGCCAGTCACAATCAATTACTGAGAAACAGCCTGATCTAAATCGGTAAAAATAATACAGATATTTACTGTTAGGTATCAATCCTAACAGGAAATGCATCACTCCTGCAGCTACAGCCAATTAGCACAAAGCAACATGAGCGCTGATTGGCTGGCCAACGTCTTACATATGTTAGTTTCCCATGATGCATTGTCTTCTGTGAGCAGATGGATCTCCTCCAGAGCTAATGTTACTGTCTAAAGAAATGAACCAAATTCAACCAATCAGAGCCAGGAGGCGGGACTTAGCACTGTCAAACAAGCTCATGTACTCGCTGCTAAATGTGTTAATGGAGGAGAAACAGCTTACCATTAAAGGAAAACAGTTTATCTGCCATCATCAGTGGCTATGCTAACTAGCTTTACAGCAGACGATGCTAGCTGTAGCATAGCAACGAGCAAAAGAAGAGTGATTGACAGCACTAAGACCCACCTCCTGGCTCTGATTGGCTGTTTCTAGTTGGCACTGGGAGAAAACATGGAAGATTGATTTTTCCATAAATTCTGTCTCAAACTGTCTGACATGGAGATGGATTCAAAAAATATTAACATTTTTTATAAAAGTTACACACTGCAGCCTCAGAGAGCTCCTGAAAATCATTTAGTATAATTAAAACATAAATTTGCATAAAAGTCACAAATGAAACTCAAAAACTGAGTCAGGTCTAAGAAGAAACTCCAGTCTGACAGAAAAAGTTGTAGTTTTCCTGCTGGGCAAAACAAAACGACCTTATTGACCCAGAATCGATTATTGCTCCAATAGTCAGGACGACCTTCCCAGCCTAAAAGATGGCAATAGTTTTAAATATTAGTGATAAAATCAGGTCAGTGTTCTGCAGCGCGTCTGAAACTAATTACTGCATGTTTTTCAGGAAGTGGACGATGACATGAGTTACTGAAAATGTTTCTGGGAAGTGAAGTTGGACATAATTGATTCAGTTTTTCTCTGCAGCTGTTTTTCACTTCAGACCGTGAATCCTCTGTCTGCTCCGGTTCATTCTTCCATCGTGTGATGAAGATATTCAACTTGTTCAGTTAAATTTAGTGGATAAGCTACAGAAAGGCCGGATCATGTCCTTCCTGACACATCAGGACGCCACATTTACGTCTGTCAGGTTTTAACAGACATGATTCAGAGCTTCATGGGAGGCGCCTCATCACTCCGACTGACATTTGGTCCTCTGCCCAGTGAGAACGCCCTGATTTACAAAACAAGATCTGCAGAAACAAAAGGCCTCCCACAGAGGCTGCAGCAGCTGCCGCCGCAGCAGCCTCCGCTGCTGCAGCCAGATTCAGATACTTTCCATTTGCCTTGAACAAACGAACTGAAACACAAACCGATTTAAACCAAATCGGTTTAAAGCTACGAGATTTCAACTTTTTCTATCTAAAGGTGTCAAATAAGTGACCTGCAGGGGGCGCCACAACTGGCATATCTGGGAGTTATAATAAATTGTAATAACCAGGAGTATCAATCTGATATTGATAAAGTATCGGATATCGACCTGCATGTTGAATCTCTGATGGAATCAGTCCGCTCCAGCATTTAGTCCGGCCCGGCTGAGTCATAAAGTCTGACTGAACTTTCCTTACACTCCTTTACAAAATATGTAATAAATGTTTGACACGATACTGGATTGGAAGTGAAAAACTTGGATTGAGACACGCCTAATAATTGCATCTACACTGTAAAAACAAAATCTTACCAAGTGTTTTAAATCTTGTTTCTACAGTAAATATCTTAGTTCACTTGAAATAAGACAATTCAAGCTAATTTTAAATCAATAATTCTTTAATATTGATTTAAAACATACCAGTTCCACTGGTAGATTATTTCACATAAAAATGGAACAAATATCTTGTATAAGTGAAAAATATTAGTCAATAATATTAAGGAATTATTGACTAATAGAAAATGTACTTATTTTTGTCTCATGTCAGGTGAACTGAGGTAGAAACTAAACCAAGCTGCTTGGTTTTGCAGTGTAATCTGAATAGAAGCTCCAGATTTAATCCTAATCCAAACAGAAATCAATCTTCTCAGGTGATTAGATGTGATTTTCCTCCATGAAAGCTTCGGGTCTGAGCTGTTGCACAAAGTGAGTGAATGAATCCAGAGTGACTCAGTGCAGATAAGTTGGTGTTATGTTTTATTATGGTTGTTCCCTCAGTTGACATGATAACAGCATCAGATGATTTAATGAACCAACATTTAGCCTCAGCTGCTATTTTACCCTCTAATTTATGAATCTGGTGGTTATATTTGAAAACACAAGTTTGCAGTTCAGAACAGCAGCATGAATCACTGTAATTACACGAGTCATAAGAAAATGTTGTGACTCCATCCAGCTCTGAGCTGCAGCACCTGACGAAGCCGACGTCACTGAGGGATCAGAGAGGAGGCAGCAGAAAGCCGACCTGGTTTTATTACGTTTATTCACCCTGAGATTAAAAATACCACAGATTCAACCAGCGCATCAGGAACTGCAGATGAATGGAGAAACTGAAAGGAAGTCAAACATTATGACTGATGAATCAGAGGGAAGGTGTTGCTGCAGCTCAGCGCCGAACATGTTGGAGGAATTTCACAAAACATTGAGTTAGAAAATGATAAACTAGTTAAGACACTCAGTTGCCTGGGAAAAATCAGCTTTTGTCTCATTTCTGAGCCGGGCTGCTGCAGAAGCCGGGCTGCTGCAGAAGCCGGGCTGCTGCAGAAGCCGGGCTGCTGCAGAAGCCGGGCTGCTGCAGCGGCGTTGTGCAGACGCCTTGGAAAGACTTGATTCTGTCCTCCTGCGATGGCGCGGCGCCAGCGGGTTCAGGGCGTGTTCTCCAGAGGAGCGACATCAACTTATTGTTCAACACATTCCTGCAGGCGCAACAGGCAGAAAACTGCAGCAGCAGCAGCAGCAGCAGCAGCAGCAGCAGCAGCAGCTTCACTCCACCATGTTTTTATCCACTTACTGCGAGATAAGATGCAGCTGCTGCAGCATAAATCACCATGACAACATGCACACACCAAACTGGAAGGAAATAAAACACAAAAAACATTTTCACAAAAAAAACATTTCTGCAGGTCAGTAAGGTGTAGAACCTGCTGTTGCTGTTTCCAGCAACGGCAACAGCAGATGGTGTGGAGCCGGGCGGTGTAGAGCCGGGCGGTGTAGAACCGGGCGGTGTAGAACCGGTGTAGAACCGGGCGGTGTAGAACCGGTGTAGAACCGGGCGGTGTGGAGCCGGGCGGTGTAGAACCGGTGTAGAACCGGGCGGTGTAGAACCGGGCGGTGTAGAACCGTAGAACCGGGCGGTGTAGAACCGGGCGGTGTAGAACCGTAGAACCGGGCGGTGTAGAACCGGGCGGTGTAGAACCGGGCGATGTGGAACCGGGCGGTGTAGAACCGGGCGGTGTAGAACCGGGCGATGTGGAACCGGGCGGTGTAGAACCGGGCGGTGTGGAGCCGGGCGGTGTAGAACCGGGCGGTGTAGAACCGGGCGGTGTGGAACCGGGCGGTGTAGAACCGGGCGGTGTAGAACCGGGCGGTGTAGAACCGGGCGGTGTAGAACCGGGCGGTGTAGAACCGGTGTAGAACCGGGCGGTG